TTGACTCACCTCAGTTTTTCCACAAAGAATGTGCTTTTCTTCATCACTCATCAGTATCCATGCCAAATGTCAGGTCAGGGATGTCACTCAAATTATTCTGAAATAGATAAAATAAATATTAATGTGATAAAGATGGCATTCCTTGAGGACACCACTCCAATACACATTATAGAAACTCAACTAAATAAAATAAAAAATGATCTAACTATCAAACTCACCTCCGGCAACCACTTCAAATTCTTGTAATTTTCAGGATCAACGGCCTCTATGTAATGGTAAGTCACCTTTACACCAAGTATTTGCTTGTGGAAGTACTGAATAAAATAAATATCCAAAAGTTGCCAATCGTACAGTGCCTTTGCAACCTGCATAAAAATCATAAAGAAAAAAGAAAAATCAGAATCAGACTGATTTTTTGACATGCTTAACTTCTTCCATGTGTCGGAAACCCTATGAATTTATAGAACTAACTTACTCTGTAATTAGGTCACTTTTGAGAATAGAGCAAATTCCAATACGTGATCCATCAGTTGCTCAAAATTGCACTTCATAGAAGCATGCATGGTGTTTCATGCATAGACATCCATGTTCAACATTGGACCCTAGATTTCCTCAGTAATTGTCATTTCTCATCTCAAAATCAAACACTGAATATTTTGCCAAAAATGATGTATCGTTGTGGAAAATTTTCCCATCTCGGAATCTGCTGAAAGAAATTGCAGGCAGTCGTCTGTTTGCAGAAATTCTGATGTTATTTGAAGCTGTTAGAAGACGCTTCCCAACTATGTTTCTTGGAAGATGCTTGCTTGAAGTTGCAGCACTTCTGTCAACTGACAATGGACAAAACAATTTCCTCGGGGGTGTTCTAACCAAAAAATCTGGACAAGAATCAATCTGCATGCTTGAGCAATATCCATCTCTTTTGGTTCTATGTTGCTCTTCTGGCTGAGTCTGAACAGCCTTGGTGGAAACATCAGCACCTAAAGAACTGGCATTTCCATTCACCTTAGTGACCTCACTACAGTTTGAAAAGTACCTTCGGTAGATACTGGTTCCAGACAAGCTATCATTTGAGGCCTCAACCATTGAACTGGAATTCTGCTTTGCAGTGGACTCAACCTCATTTTTAGATGCCAAAAAAATAGATCCCTCATTGGCAGTGACACCTGGAACTTCATCATTTCTACCAAAGCAACCCTTCTCATTTTCATGCTTTTGGCATTTTAACTCAACCACTTTCATCTTCTTTGGAAGAGGTTCAGTTTGCTGAAGCTCTAGTGGAAGAGCTTCAGATAAGGCCACACTTGTTGAACCATTCACAGTACTTGCTTCCGCATACAGGAACCACATTCCCTTGTGACCTTGGAAAGCATGCCTTAAAGGTATGGACTCAGGCAGATGGTAAAAGTATGACTTTTGCTTAATCTATAAGAAGAAATAGAGCAATAAGAAGCACAAGTTAAAGTTAACAGTCAAAAAATGGAAAAAAAAAATTTTGAAGAATGGAACTCTTTAATTTAATTTAAATTTATGAATAGAAACATTATGATCTATGAAATTTACCATTAATCCAAGAACTCTGATCTCCCCCAGTTCTGGGAAACAACTAAGATGCACTCTCCCCAGTTCTCCTACATAACAATCTTGTCACATTAATTTCTTCATACAACAGAACAGTGAGAATCAAAGATAAAAATAGTTTCTACATTCTGATTTCCTGTAAAACAGCCATGTTGCCCTCAAATAATTAATGCATATCTTTAAGCAACAAAATGATTATGATAAACAATTCACCATCACACATACAACAAACTGAATATAGCTCCCTGGCGGGAAAAAATTTACTTTCCAGACCAGATGAGGTGGAAAGTTCATCAATGTACGATGACAATGAAGCCAAAAATGATGATAATCTGCCCAAGTAGTAAGCAAGCAACATATTTGAGAACATCAGCTGGCGGTTTAAACTCAAAGTCTGGAATCTTAAAGGACTGGTATTTTTCCAGGAAGAACTGAAAATGAAAACTATCTGTGCATAAATCTAGACATCATAGAAAATGAAAATGGAGATCCTTGGTGCATCATAACCCATGAAATACACGCAATAACTTTACCTTTCCCAACAAAAATGGCAGAAACCAATGATTTTTTACCCAGAAAATAAATTAAACAAAGAGAATGGAAAATGTAAGAGATACCCATGTAAGAGAAAGACAAAAAGGACCAAAATTTGCAACTGGGAAACTTAAAAAGAAACAAAGAAAATCTGGGGGGAAAGGCAAAATCATGACAAAGATGTAGAAGCGAAAAAAAGAAGAAGTGAAGACTGGTTCATTGTTGGCTCACTCTTGAAATCCCCAGCTGTGATGTCTGGAGAGGCAGCCATGGCTAAGTGAGTACCCAAGTTCGTGTCTGTGAAAACTGCTACTTCTCTAGGAGAGGCCATTAAAGACAATGAAATGAATCACCAGGGGAATTTTGATCAGAACCGCACTTTTTTTCTTTATTCACTCCCCCGCTAGTTCATTTTGTCCATTAAAAAAAAAAAACCTGTACCGAAAAGTAATATTTTTTTTTAGACAATCATCTTTTATCTTGTCTGTTATTAAACACCATCTATTTTTTATCACATTTTATTTATATATTATACACTCAAACTCAATATTTTTTTGAACCTCTCCCCTAATTTTTTGTTGCACTTTTAATTTTTTATCTTATTAAATTTATAAGTTTTAACTCATCATTTATTAAAATTAAAAAAAATAACATTCACTTTATATTACATGTTAACTCTATTAGTTAAAAGTAGATCTTTGTTAATTAACAATCAACTAATAGTTAATTAACAGAATTAAGGAAATATGATAGAGTTAATTCTATTAACTTTATTAATTGAAAAAAGTTTTTTATCAACTAACAGTCAACTAATAAAATTAATAATTAACAAACAAAATGTGATAAAGTGAGAATTATTTTTTTCAATTTTAATAAGTGAGGAACTAAAAGTGTTATATTATAAAGTGATGGGTTAAAACCTAACAAGATGAGGGGTTAAAAGTATCAGAATATAAGATGAGAGGCTAAAACCTTCAAACTTGGTAAGGTGAAGGGCTCAAAGTAGGCTTTTGCCTAAAAAAAGAGCAGGGTTATTTATCCAGAAAACAGCTGCAGGTTCAACGGCTGGAGTGACGATGCGTCTGGAAGTTTCGCCTCTGGGATAATTATCCAGAACCCAAGTGAAAAGTAAGAGTCTTTCATGGGATTACTGGGCTAGTCCCGGTGCGAGAATTCAGAGCATCAATGGCGTATGGACTCTCTCTTCATGTCTTTCTGTCTGCACAGACGCAGACGCAGACACCTTCCTCCAAGCCTTTGAAGCTGACTAGGAGAGCCAACAAGCCTAACACAGCCCTTTCTACAAGTAAAAAAGGTAAATTTTCTGTTTGATCCCCAGGAAATGCAGTAGCAAGAAAGTTTCTTAGAATCCAGCAAAAATTCCATCAGGCAAACGTTCTTCTATCAAAAGAATCCAAAAGCTACAATTGCAAGTCTTGTGCTTTAGATATTGATAATGAAGTTGTAGCTGCTGCGGGACACTGCATTATCATTGTTACATTTTTATTCTCAGCAAGCATTATTATAGTTGCATGAATGTGAGTTCTTCTTTACTCTGATGTATCTTTCTGAAGATTTATTTTTTATTATTGAAAAATGTGATAATTCAGGTCTCCTCGGCCCCTTGCCTAAAACCCAGAAGTTGAATTTGGAGGTTTCACCTCATAGAGCAGGTATTGCTGCTGTGCTATTGGCTTTCCAATGTTAGAATTGGACTTTAATGTGATGCTTAATCGTGTATCTTTTTAATAGCTTAATAAGTGATTAGAAATCTGCTTATCTTCATTTCTTGTCTACTTGATATTTATTGGGTTTGATATATTTGCAGTAGGTCAATGAGCATCATATCTTTTCATCTACCTAATCATCTTATTCTCTGGTTAAGTATCTTTACAACCATCAGTTAAAGATATTGTGTCTTAGGCATTTTCTTCTTGTAATTAAATACAAGGTTCATGAAGTTGGTTTTAAATTTTAAGAATAGGTGTCAGTAACTTTTAGTCCTGTCAATTTTCTTATGTGAGTTTGTTTAATGACTTGTAGTATCTGCTGTGAGGTTGATGAGAATTGAGCTGGGTGGTGCATTTGCTGACCTTTTGAATGAGAAAGGAAAGGGTTCCGGTGGTAATGAGATGGCATATGTAGAAAGATCTCTGGGGTTTCGCACTCATGATTTGGATGATCGAGATCTTAGACTGGTTATCTTTCTGTTACTTGTCTTCAATGGGTTTGTTATTCTATGTGGTTTTAATTATAATATTTACTTTAGCAGTCATCAAGAAATTTTGAACAATGTTTATATCTACTTTATTATGGGGTTGAAACCTGCATAAATTTGCTGTGTTAAATATTTCCATTGGAAGTTATAGATACTTTCTGCAATGTTTTCATCATGTTCATGTTATGCATGTTTCCTGGAGGATTCTTAACTGCTTAGTCTGCTTGTACTAGGACCTTAGTAATTGAAACAAATCAGTTACGAACCAATTATTTTCCTTTTCTATTATTTGAAATCATATAGGTTACAGACATTGTTGGTGGTACAATTCGCTGGAGGAGATATCTTGATTACTTGATTTGTTCACTCTTCCATGATGAAAGCATGTTTAGAAGCATGGAACCACTTCTCCTACAGGTAAACTTTGCCTTTCGTATTTTTTATGGGACTGTTCTAATTTCCTTGATGCATGCTGAAGGAGTTGAATTATTCATCTGGTGAATGTAAACTATTTTAAGTGCATTAATTCTACTAGAAAATGCCTCAAATAAGAATTTTTGCTTATTTATTTTTCCTTTGACTACTTTTTTAGATTCTCCGAATAGGTTGCTATGAGATTGTCAAGCTTGATATGCCGCCATATGCTGTTGTAGATGAGGTAATATCTGCTTAATGTTGTTTGCAAATTATGAAGCCTTGGTTTTTTGGTTGTTGCCTTATTTGCATAATACTGCAGAATGTAAGACTAGCAAAGGTTGCCCTTCGACATGGTGCTGGTAACATGGTCAATGCAATCCTCCGGAAACTGGTGTCGCTGAAGGTTTGGCACTGCCTGAATTATGTTCGGTAAAATAATGGCCAACCATGAACCTCTTATGTATTTCTATTTGGGGTTTGCAGGATAGGAACTCCCTTCCTCTTCCCAACATGGAAGGCAATGATCGTGCGCAAGCACGTGCTCTTGCTACTATTTATTCTCATCCGGTTGTAAGTTTGTATTGCATCCTCTGTTTTCACTTCTTTTAGAATAGTCATGGGATAACCTAGATGGTGGTTGATGTATTGTAAAATAGAAGTTTAGTGTGAGTTTATTCATAATATTTGACTTTCACTCTCACGAGTAGAGTTTGAGTTTCAAGTTAAAACTTGTGGTTGCAATACAACACAAAACTATCTGATTTTTTCAGACAATCACATTTTTGCTCAGTTTATTGAAAATAACTACCTAGCCACCTTAGTAAATAGTTTCCTTAATGGCTATTCCGTTCTGTTTTGTTCAGTTTGCATCTTTCTTTCACAATGAAGCAAGCTTTCTTCCTCAACTTTATTGTTTTCTAACTTCTGTACGAATTGCCAATGCTTATATTGAATTGCCTACAATTTTTATCATTTTGTAGTGGATGGTTAGGCGATGGATAAAATACCTTGGCCAAGAAAGAGCAATTAGATTGATGGTCTGGAACAACAGTGATCCAAGTTTCAGCTTGAGGTTTTTGCTATATTTTTATTTGCTTCTGAGTATCATAATTCCTGGGATCTCAGATCTAACTCTTCTAATATGGACATTAGGGCAAACTGTGCGAAAGGAATTACAAGAGCTGACCTTGTGACACAGCTTAATGTATTGAAGGTGCTTTATTAACTCTTCTTTTTAATGGTATCTAGTTTTTAATATTCTCCAAACATTTGTTTTGCTTCTGCAAATGTTCAATTTTCAATGCCTCTGCCACTCTCCATTGCACAGGCATAGGATACTTATCTGTTATATTATCTTGTCCTTACCATGTGACCATGTGGCAAATGTTTGCCTTTTAATTATTAATTTTCTTTCTTGAATGCAGGTTCCACATGAGGTTTCTCTGCATTTGGATGATTTTGTACGTGTAAAGACTGGCTTGCAAGTATGAGCATGATACACTATATTATGTCCATAGTTGCCTACATCGACTAGATGCAACCTTTACTTCAGTGTTCTGCAACCCAGTTTCCTTCTTCCATTTCAGGCTGTCATACAAGCTGGATTTTTGAAAGAAGGTCTCTGTTCTGTCCAGGATGAGAGTGCTGGTATTTTTCATTTCATCTGCTAAGGTTTCAAGCAAAGAGCATGATACATCAATAGAAATGTTTAAAATGGAAATGCTGCCTAAATTCAACTGAACTGATTGCATTGTAATATAACTTGCCTTCAAATGATATTTTACCATCACATTGCAGGACTAGTAGTTTCTGTTGTGGATCCTCAACCTGGTGAGAACATTGTTGATTGCTGTGCTGCTCCTGGTGGGAAGACACTTTATATGGCATCTCATTTGAAAGGCCAAGGTATATGCGCTGGTTTTAACAGATGGTTGTTTCCTTTCATGCCGGAAATGAGAATTGATATACGGTATGGATAATGCCTCATTTTTTTATTAGGTATGGTTTATGCAATTGACATAAACAAAGGTCGTCTGAGAATCCTTAATGAGACAGCCAAGCGGCAAAATGTTGATGGTGTCATTACCACCATTCATAATGACCTCCGTGCTTTTGTTGTGAGTTCTTACCCTCTTAAAAGCTTTGATTTCAAGATGGATCTTCATATTTATTTGCTTTTCCTATTTGTTAATCTTTAGGACAAGAAATTATTGAAATCTGATAAAGTTCTATTGGATGCTCCATGTTCTGGACTCGGTGTCCTCTCCAAGGTAATCTATAAGCACACATGGCAAAAATGTTACCCTCTGAAAGTTTTCAAAAGTAATTAAGATTTTCTTCATATTCTTCCTCTCATCCTTGAAGCCTTCTTGATAATATGCTGGCTGTCTATTTCTATATATCGAAGAGAGCAGATTTGCGCTGGAATAAGAGATTGGAAGATTTGGAGCAACTTAAGAATTTACAGGATGAGCTTCTTGATGCAGCATCCATGTGAGATTTAATTTTTCTCTCTGACCTTCTCTTTTTAAATTCCAAATGAATGTTTAGACTCCTTGTGAAGTATGGTTTGAGGACAAAATTTATTAGAACCCCTTCTGTTTTTATTGCCTATTTTTTTATTAAATGCTTGTCCTAGTCTTTGATTGATTAGGTTGTTTCAACTTGTTTCATTTCCCCCTTATGATGTTCTTTGTTCATTCCCAGATTGGTGAAGCCTGGTGGAGTGTTAGTATACAGTACCTGCTCAATAGATCCTGAAGAGAATGAAGAGAGGGTGCAAGCATTTCTTCTCAGGCATCCTGTAAGAACTGGCCTTGACCATTATTTGGTTATTGTCTTTAAGAAAGAGGACCATTCAAGTATTGGGCTAATTCAATTGTTAAAAATGCATTACTTTTTTAACTTTTTCAGGATTTCAGTGTAGATCCAGTAGACAAGTATGTACCAGCTGATTTTGTTACAGAACATGGTTTCTACTTCTCTGACCCAGTAGAAAATTCACTTGATGGGGCCTTTGCTGCTCGTCTAGTTCGGGGATCATAAATAAAGGCAAGGCATCTGTGATATTTTCCTATGAGGCTATGATTGATTGTCCTGATTTTGACCCTTATTAACCTTACCTTGCAGCATCATTGAATTTGAGCCACTGCCATGAAGAGTTCACACCATTACAACAACTCTAACTCAATCATGAGTTGAATTCTAATTAGAAAAAAAGGATGCGTATCCATCAACTGGCTCTGACTGGGCTTAAGTCAAGAAAATTAGCAAGGATGGTTTGTTTCACTGAAAATTCCCTAAGAGGGTACAATGCTCGAGTCAGAACTGGGCGCATGTAACTAAAAAGGCCTTGGCCTTGTGGGGATGACATTGGCTTGTGAGTTAAGGTGTTCTTCTCTTTGCCTATATGCTAATTAGGCATGCATACCGTGTTGTGTAGCATTGGCAGAGAGTATCCACATTCTATACGAAAGATTCTTGACTGATAAGATCATTGATTCACTTTTTGCCTATGAAATTAAACATATTAGAACTTTTAAATGCTAATCTGAAATTTTTTTTCCTTTGACAGCAATCTGTATGAAACTGATATCGTTTCTTGTACCAATCCTAGAATGATAGAAGATACTTATAATGTAGATTTGTTGATTTGATGGCATTTCTATTCCTAAGCAATCTTCTGTACATGAGAAGAATATGTTTATACTTGTGATGGTAGTAAGCAACTAAACCAAAGTAGAAATCAAACTGATTATGTCAAAAGACAAACATGAAGTGACAAAAGAGCAACCTAATTAAGTAGATCAAAAAAAAACACGAACTGTGAAAAACAAGGAAGAAGGGAAGACTTGAGTCCTCGTATATAAACCTTTGAAAAATCCTAAAAACTACATCAACAGATAGAGAATGACCTGCATCCCACCAAGAGCAGTCATGAAATAAGAGGCAACAGTGACCTTGATACAGAGAGAATCTCCAATATGGAACCTTTCTCTTGAAGCCCAATCATTGTAATTCTCTGCTTCATTCCCAGTTGATTTGGTCCATCCATTCTTCCCACCAACATTGAACTGAAACGAGGAAGCAAAGACAGAGAGACCATGGACATCAAAATCAAACAGAAGAAAGCAACTGTTGTAAGAGAAATGGAAGCCATTTCCTGTTTCTTGTCTGGGAAAAATTTTAGAACTTTGGATACTGTAGATGAAGAGAATGAAATGCAAACCTCAAGGGAAAACAGAAAGGCTCATAACCCATTTCTTGAGCTTTATATGGTGGAAGAGTGATGAAGTGTGGTGGCAGTTAAGTTGGTTAAGTATGTAATATCTGGGGAGCAGTCGAAGTAGTCGGGTTGCGCAGTTGAAGCCTGGGAGTCCCACGCCTTAATCCTGCATGTCTGATCAAACTTAGGTCCTGTTTGGTTACCTATGAATTTTTTACTTGGTTAAAAAAACTTTATTAAGAAAGATTTTAAACCGGATATGTATACTTGAGAAAGTTGAGCTTTTTGTGGTTGGGGGCTTTTAAGTTTTGTTTGATATTCTTATACTAAAAAATGTGTATCAATTTTAATTCTAAAAAAAAAAAGTTAAAATTTTAATTTTAAGTTATATTATTTTATTTAAATAAAATAAAATTTAAAATTTAAAAATTTATTTTATTAAACATTGATATTTATATTTGAAAATTTATTGGATTTTTGAATTTTAAATTAGGTCTTTAATTTTTAAATATAAGTTAAAATTTTAATTTTTTTTAAAATCAGTACTGATATTAATCTCTTCTTAAAATCTTATTTTAGTTATTTTAAAAAGATAGTGCAAAAAAAAAAAAAAAAAACATAGTGCAAAATTTAAAGTGAAAATTATCATGCTCTTAAATAAAATCTAAATAATTGATTATATTTTAAATAAAACAATTAATTAAATTACACATGTTTAAGTAGTAGATTATTAAGAAGATATAATTGGTTATAATATTTTATATCCAATTACTTAGTAATTTTAAATTATAATTGCTTATAGCATTCATTTAATAGATTTAATGTGTAATTAGTTATTTTTTTATTATAATCAATCATATATAATAGTAGAAAATTAAGTTCTTTTTTTTTTATTTGTAATGTGTTATTATAGTTTATTATAAATATTAAATAGTTAATTATCAATAACAAAATAATTCATTATAATAAAAAGTTAATTGATTATCAA